TTTTCAGGTGCTGTTCCACCCAGAGATATGTCACTACATTCTTCTTTTACCTCAGAAAAGGTGCAGAACCTAGGAGAAAAGCTGTCACCAAGGTCTGACCTATCTCCATTAACTCCAAGAGAATCTTCTCCTCTGTACTCTCCTAGTTTTCCAGATTCACCTCCTGCAATCACAGAAGCAGTGCCAGCTAGTCACACTCCCTCATTGTCACTGCAGGTGTCCTCTGTCAAAGCATTTGATTACCAGGAACACCTAACAAAGGACAGTCCAGAACCTTTACTCAGTCCAGAAAAAGAAGACTCAGAGAAAAGCAGCAGGTCACCAGAAGAACGTAGTTATTCTTATGAGGCCACAGAGAAAACTACTAGGTCACCTGGGGATATTAGCTACTCCTATGAGGCAGTTGGAAAATCTACTAGATCACCTCAGGACATGGATTATTCCTATGAGACAGTCGGGAAAACTACAAGGTCACCTGCAGTCACAGATTATTCCTATGAGATAGTTACAAAAAATATGATGTCATCTGAGGCCACAGATTATTCTTATGAGATGACTGAGAAAACGACCAGGTCACCTGAGGCCACAGATTATTCCTATGACATAACTGGGAAAACTGCCAAATCTCCTGAGGCCATATCTTACTCCTATGAGAGAACTGGGAAAGCTACCAGATCACCTGATAGTATGGATTACTCCTATGAGACAGTGGGGAAACCCACCAAATCACCAGATGCTGTTAGCTACTGCTATGAGACAGCTGCAGGAGCCACCAGGTCACCAGAAGCTATGGCTTACTCCTGTGAGACAACTGGGAAAGTTTCCGGTTCACCTGAGGCTACAGATTACTCATTTGAGACAACTGGGAGAGCCACCAGGTCACCTGAAGCTACTAGCTATTCCTATGAAGCAAATGCACATTTCACTCTGGCAAAATCATTAGTAGAATCCCGTCAAGAAGTTGACTTATGCCTTGTGTCCTCTTGCGAATATAAACATCCTAAAACTGAACTTTCACCCTCATTTATCAACCCAAACCCCCTTGAGTGGTTTGCAAGTGAAGAACAGTCTCAAGATCAAGAAAAGCCATTAAATCAATCTGGGGGAACCCAGCCACCTTCTGGGGGAAAACAGCAAGGGCGGCAGTGTGATGAAACCCCTCCCACATCAGTGAGCGAGTCTGCCCCATCCCAGACTGATTCGGATGTTCCCCCTGAGACTGAGGAATGTCCTTCCATCACTGCAGATGCTAACATTGATTCAGAAGATGAGTCAGAAACCATTCCGACAGACAAGACAATTACTTACAAACACATTGACCCACTGCCTGTTCCGCTGCAGGATCGCAGCCCTTCCCCTAGACACCCTGATGTTTCCATGGTTGATCCAGAGGCTCTGCCTGTTGATCAGAATTTGGGTAAACCTTTGAAGAAGGACCTCAAAGAAAAGACAAAGACAAAGAAGCAGGGTACTAAGACCAAGTCGTCTTCTCCTGTTAAAAAAAGTGATGGTAAATCAAAACAAGTGGCGTCACCAAAGCCAGCTATAAAAGAATCTTTAGACAAAATTTCCAAAACAGCTTCTCCAAAAAGGAAGGAGTCTGTGGAGAAGGCAACCAAAAATATGTCTAGTCCAGAAGTAAAGTCTCGAGTGGAAGAGAAAGATAAGGACACCAAGAATGCAGCAAATACGACAACATCCAAGTCAGCAAAGACTGCAACCACAGGTAAAGTCAGATAGCAGTTCCCTAGTGTTAAGATTCTCTTAGTTGTTACAGAGTAACTTCTCTGTACTTGAAAGGGAAACGAACTTGTTTCCCTTTATATCAGCTGAGAATGTGGTTTGTAGCAAATCCCTAAAAAAAGTCCAAGATCCAGCATGTAAAGGCCACATTTAAGTGCATGAAATTCACTAAATTAACTTTTGCAATCTGAGAAACTTGATGTGTCAGTTTGCTCAGAGAGTATATAAAATACAAAGAACTTTATAGCAGTCTAAACTGCTAACCAACCAATGGAATTAAAAGTACCACTTTCACAGGTGAATCGAAGTCAGTAGCAAAGTGAACCACTTTTTTATAAGAAACAAATAGGCACAATTCTCTTAACAAAAATTAATGCAATTTAATATTGTGGGAGGAAAAAGTACTATTGGCCATTGCATGCTGTTATTACTTTGCTGGATTAATTTTAGAAGGAGTATTTTAAAAGTTACAACAGTAGTAAGAGCATTTTCAGTGAACTAAGCATGCAAATCACATAATCCAGTTAAAGTCTTCTGCCATCAGTGATGACTAAACATATAGAAAGTTAATGTCATTTTGAATGACTGTTGTATATTCTAAGTAGTAATATAATATGAATTAGATTACTGCAGGAGGCATTGTGCTAATCTATTGTTTCCACCAGATCATGTTAGTGCATTTGGGAGATACTTTGATTCTGCTGTTGTCAGGGCTGATCATAGAATCATAGAATGTATTAGGTTGAAAGGGACCTTTAAAGGTCATCTGGTCCAACCCCCCTGCAGTAACAGGGACAATGTTACCAGATCAGGTTGCTCAGAGCCCCATCAAGCCTGACCGTGACTATCTCCAGGGATGGGGCCTCCACCACCTCTCTGGGCAACCTGTTCCAGTGATCTTCCAACCTCATATTGAAGAACTCTTTCCTAATATCCAACCTAAATCTACCCTTTTGTAGTTTAAAACCATTACCCCTTGTCCTATCACTACATGTCCTAGTGAACAGTTCTTCCCCAGATTTCTTACAGGCACATTTCAGGTATTGGAAGGTCGATATAAGGTCCCCCTGGAGCCTTCTTTTCTCCAGGCTGAACAACCCCAACTCTCTCAGCCTATCTTTGTAGGAGAGGTGGTGATGTTCTGTTGGAAGTTTTTTTACAAGGAGCAGATCTAGGATTCAGTACAAACAAACCAGCTTTCAAGTGTTTGTTCCCCATTTTAAGCAGCCCACTGTTCCTTTCTTACACCATCATTTGCACATCTCTGTTAGTAGATGTGTTTCAAAGCAGCAGTGTAGTTCCTCATGCTCTGCATTTCTTCAGCACTTTAGCTCTATATGAGATTCTTCTTCCTTAAAGCATACTCCTCAAGTATATGCTAGAACAGAAGACAAGGCTCTGTTTGATAATGGCATTTAAGTGTAAAATGTCATGTCTAATATTTTATGCAGTGTTGGTATCCACAATTCAGAAAGATTTATCACAGATCTTTTAATGACAAAAGATGATAAAATATTTTGTAACATAACCAATAGCACGAACTCTCTAATTCAGGAAATCTTATCATATCATGATGTTTATTTGGCATATTGCCCTCTGGTGAATGGCAGGACATGCTAGACAACTGTAATGGACTCTGCTGGACTTACAGTATGTGACCCTACATAGACTGTATTACTCAGATAATTGTTGACCAAACTTCATCCTCTGTAACAACACGAGAAGGCTAACAGAACATAAATGGTGATCATCTAGATAAAATTACTGGTTGAATCCTGATTTTCAGTTCACACCATGATCCAGTGCGAAGCAAAAGCTGCTTTTTTCGGGGGCGGGGGGGAGGTTAGTATTTTTAATGTGAGTGTTTGAAGTTTGAACTTCCTTTGGACTGAAGGTCTTCTTAGAACAAATACTATACCAGGTACAGCAGCAAAAACATGCTTTCTCCTACTTTTTGTGATGAGTGGCTAATTTGTGTATGCAAATAAGGTTCCAGCAGGCACACACTTGTTCTTATTTCTCTGAAGTAATAGCTTTACAAGTTTCTCTGTCCTCCCAAGTTCCTCTTTGCTGTTATTTCTTCTTACATGTAGCATCTTTCTGATGCAGCTGAGCATATCAACGGCTACCATATCTTGCTATGTGCTGATACTCCAAATCTCTTCACTGCTTCTAAATCCCTGTGTGACCTTAGTTTTTTTATAATTGTGCATACCTGAGACTTTTGAAAAGCTGTACTTCTTAACTTGGAAAATAATACCACAATTTATTGAATGGTAATTCAGTAATCACAGCCTTGTGCAGTAATTGTTGGATAATAGTAGTATGTTACTGGGAAAGGTTCAGTCAGTTGTTTGTTATGTGGTAGTGAGTTTTTATTGTATTATATAGTTACAGTTATTCATATTTTCCCTCCCATTAATCATATTTGTAAGACAAAAAAGCTGGAACATGTCATTACATGTAGTAGGGTAATGCCATAATTGGACACATCTCACCTCAGCGGTTATAACTGTAATTAATAAATGCTTCTTTTTAACCACTCTGTGATATATTCTTTTGTTATTTGATTTCTGAAGGACCTGGGAATACTAAGGTGGCAAAATCTACAGCAGTGCCTCCAGGACCTCCAGTGTATTTGGATCTGGTGTATATTCCCAACCACAGCAATAGCAAGAATGTTGACGTTGAGTTTTTCAAGAGGGTGCGGTCATCCTACTACGTGGTGAGCGGGAACGATTCTGTAGCCGAGGAGCCAAGTAGGGCTGTTCTGGACTCCCTGCTGGAGGGCAAGGCACAGTGGGAGAGTAACATGCAGGTAGGCTCTTCATTAGTATCAATACCAGGAAATTTAACCTTCTCTGGGAAGCAACGATGGAAGCTGAAGTGCCTCTGGAGTGGACAGCAGCTGCCGGGGAATGAGGTCCCCAGACTGGGCACCTCATTTCACTGATAATGTAAAAGGATACCCAAACAAAGCACAGAGCTGTGCTGCACTTAGCCAATCCCCAGTTTCTGGCCCTTCTGACCTGTTCCTGGTGAATAAAACAGATGGGAGCAGGTTTACAGAGTCATCTGGCTGTTTCATCTTGTCATTATACCAGCATCGATACAAGTTTGGAAATGTTGCAGTTTGTAAGTAGGAAAGAGAAGTGAATGTTTCATGGCTTATATGGTAATCACGTACACTTGGAAACTTTATGTGCCTTTCCATCATGATCAATAAGTAAAAAAATATTTAGCCATAATCTGAAGAGCTATTGCTGCGGACTATAGTCTGCTACTTCTCTGGAAAGATGCATCTCAACACCTCACAAAACCAAGGTTTTATTTCGATAAACTACTTCTTTGCAATAATTTTACCTTTCCTATGTGTTTATTTATTTCCACCCATTTATTCAAGTATTTATTGCCTAAAGATCCGCTTTTTCCAAAAGGGGAATACACTTTTCGGCTGGAGCTTCTTACAGAGACATTTTTGTTATCAGCTCTTTCTGTTGTCCATTCCTCAGGATTTCTCCTGTTTTCTGTTGCAGGTGACCTTAATTCCAACTCATGACTCAGAAGTGATGAGGGAATGGTACCAAGACACCCATGAGAAACAGCAGGACCTCAACATAATGGTTTTGGCAAGCAGCAGCACTGTTGTTATGCAAGATGAATCTTTTCCCGCATGCAAGATAGAACTGTAAGAACGAGACCATGCACCACAAGATTAAACTTTGTTTCCAGAAATTCTTCAGTTTGAAAACACCTTTTCTAAAAATTCAACCCATCTATTTCAACTGCTGAACTATATACCTGCCAAATGCTATACTGTGTCACGGTGATGCAAGTCACTAATATTTTTCAGTCTTTGCTGATTGCTAAGGGAAATAACAGTATTCCCATAGTAAGGTTCAAATTACTGCAAAAATACAGATCCAGTTTCATCTCTGCTGAACGTTTGGAAACCATGCACTAGCAACCCCAACTGACTTCTGCCAGGTAGAGGCATTTGCCCTCTAAAGAAACACAAAGAGAGAGAAAGAGGAGGAGAAAGAAAGAAATAATTAGATCTGTATTAGTCTCAAGGCAATAGATGTTTCGCTTACTGCAATCTGCTTATGCTGTCACATGAAAATAAAATTTTGAATTTTTATCAGTCTGAGCTATCGCAATGGGGATCCTTTTTTTACAGAATTAATTTAGCTGCAAAATAAAAAGAAATAGAATGTGGCTAGGAAGAGACGTATAACCTAAACCCTCATCACTTTAATTTGAACTCTGCATACTGACATAACATAACAATCATGGGCCAAATATGCATACAGTCTGCATGCCATCCAGAAGTCTAAAACCTTTCAACAGGCAGAATTGTTGGTCTAAGGCATGCTCCCAGTGAAAGTCCACTCGCTCCAGCCAGAACTGATCAGTCCACATGCTTGAACACTCATCTCCACTGTCAATTAACTGAAGCAAAATACCAAAGCAGTTGGGAGAACATACAGTAGACAATTTGCCTTAGAAAGTGACTTGAATGTACAAAGAAACTTGATGCACTTATTTTTTAATGTTGAGACAGCAAATTTATAAAACATCTGTGTAGGATCATAGTTACACCAGTAAAGAAATGTGAGTGTACATGTGTGGTACTAGAAACCTATTTGGTCAAACGGCTTGGTGCTATGAATTATGTATGTTAGTTATGTGAACGCTTCATTGGTGCACCTGGACAGCTCAACAGGGCAAGATGAGCATTTTTTAAAAAGCTTCTTCTGTACTGTGGAAGCAAGGTTGAAGTGGTGTCCAGTATCAGAGTTACAAAACATAGTGAAACATTCAAAATTATGAAAAAAGTTCCCTGCAAGCCTGTACAGTATTCAACCTTCCTTTGTCTTACCTTAATTGTTTAATTTAAGAGTGAATATGGGAACAAATGTACAGAAACCTTTTTTTTTTAGTGCTGTGTGAATTTTTAATAGATGAATTTTTAACAAACATTTTCATTTACAGGAAAATGCAAAGAAGAAATTTTCAGGTGAAGGCAGTTTTTTAGTAGTTTTGTAAGATAAATGAATAATGTTGTTTAAGGTTCTAGCAAGAATGGATACTGAGGTAAATTTTCTTGAAAATAGTCAACTGCCAATACCTTTTTTTTTGGGGGGTGGGGAGGTGGGGTGTGGTGTGAGTGGAAGGGCATCCTGGTGGTAAAATTAATCTATTGAAGATGGCAGAAAATGGGATTTGAAAAGCCAATTGCCTAATACAAGGGTGTAACCTACATACTTAACCCTGACAAGATCTTGAAAAAAGTTAGAATAAGCAATAAGCTTAATTAGTTCTTCCCTTTCCTAATTAGTTCTTCCCTTCCCTCCTCTCATTTCCTACTCTCATTTTCACCTGCTCCACCCTTCCTCTTTTCTTCTTTTCCTCTTCCTTTCCTTGCCTCTTCTTTTACTCTTCCTTCCCTTTCCTCCTGCCTCTTCTCCTTCCTTTCCTTCTCTAGACTGATTGCAAAGGAACAGCATCACTGTTCTGTGATTTTAGACAGTTTGGATTTTTTAGTGTTAGCAGTTTCACCCCAGTTTAAAAAAAGTCTTGTTACATTGTAGAAGGTTTGCAAATCTGAATTTAAGGAAGGTGTAAAAGCCTCCTGAATGGGGATATGAGCTGGTCTTTATTATTCACCATCATGGCTGGTACTAAGTTTCACAATGTAGTGAACTATGACCTCACTTTATTTTCTTTACTTATAATTTATTTCAATTTTACATTGTTAGGATAGTTTCTTTTAATAGGTATGTGTTTGCACTCCTAGTTTTTTTTAGGTTTTATTAGTACTTCTTTAGGATTCTTTAAATGTTGGCTCCTGAGGCCCATTTAATGCTGTGAATTCCTGTTTGTCAGTTGTTGGGGGATTTGATTTATTTTTAATGTCTTCTCTTTTTTTAGATATCTCTAGCAATGCTGTTTTATTTATTGCTATACCTTTTGAGTTGTTAAGAATAACTCAGAATTACTATGGCACAAAAGGCAGATGGAAATGTATTGTGAAATGAAGCATGTTTGATGCGCTCATAATCATTCACTTAAAACTGCATTTGTAAAACATAGTCTACAAAGTTCTAGGCAAAACATTTGGCAGAATAGTACTGTTTCTACAATTCTTTCTGCTTTGTCTACTTTTTTAAATAGGTCAGATTTCAAACTTTTTGCGTGGTTGGGAACAGATTTTCTGACAATATTTGAAATGGTTTGTAACTCTGCTTTGGTAGAAAATCTGTTTTAAGTACAGCAGTGGTCCTGAGACTAATGTCACTGATGCCACTTACTCCTGTGGATCAGGAGCAATTTCACTGCAGTCAGGGCTGTTCCAGTCACTTGGTCCTACTGTAAATGAAATTGAAATCAAGCCTTAAGTCTCCCCAAGCAAGTTTGTGATGGCTCAAACATTTGTTTCACTTTTAAAATAATAACAATAGTTAGACAGTTGCAGCCTATCTTAAAATGTACATTCGCTTTTTAGCTGCTATAAGAACATTAAAACCCTGGTCTGGCTATTCTGAGGTATTGTAATGCCTGTTCCATCCATTCCCTTTCAAATGGCGATGGTGCCTGGGTGCAACACAGCAATGAACTCCTCCATTAGCTCCTCTCGCCCTTAATGTCTTTCCTGCCTGTGGAACTAATCTAACTGTGCTAGTCCTAGTACTACACAATTAGCTTAGTGTAACAGTCATCAGAATGTACCGTGTACATTAACAATGAGTGCTGTTGATCAGCATAGATTTCTAGGAGCATGGTTTGTTCTTGATTACTCTAATTAAAAAAAATCAATATCTGAGTGTAAAGGACACTCCATTTAAATGATGGTATTACCCATAACAGCATCCCCAGTCATGATCTTTGTGCTATAATGCTTCATATAGTTCAATAAAGAATTAACTTTGGAGATCCCACCCCACTCCTGAACTTGAACAGGGCCTCTCTTGCATGCCTTTTCAAAGTCCTGTGGTGGGCCTGATTTTATTGACCTCTCTTTTTCTCCATCTTTCATAGAAATAACTTCTGATTTTTTTTTAACTTACTTTACATACTGTGGTGAATGGAGATAACTGTGTATATGAATGTTTTTCTTTTTAATTGCCTATGATAGCTTACACATTTTAGGAGAGTTCCAGTACTTATTTACTAAGATTTAATCAATTTGTTAATTGAATTTTCAATCCCACCCACCATAAGCAAGTCAGCTCCAAAGAGCGCTTACTGTGCATTTGGGACATTTCTGTCATATGCTTCTCTTTGTTCATCTGTTGCCAGGGGTTCTTGCTCAGTAATGATGTTTTGAGCGAAATAGTAATTTTGTTGGTCTGGATTTATTAGAAAATGAAAAAGTGTAATGTCTACACTTGAAAGAAACTGTAAGCTTTCATCTTTTCACTTAGTAATTGAACAAAACACTAAAAGCAACTAGAGGTAAGCATTTCTTAGAATTCAATTATATTATTCACCTGGTTTAAAAAGGTTTGGTATTTAAAATAAAATTAAAAAAAAAACAACAAAAAAAGAAAAAAGTCTGTTTGTTGTGACTTTACAAAAAAATCTAAAAAAATCAAGTAACTAAAACAATGGCATAAAAATATAGAAAGAAAAAAAGATAATAATTTACAAAGCAGCTTCTCCGCACTAGACTAGCTAGAAGCTCCAGATGGCAGGAGCTACCTCTTCAAGACTGGGCTGTAATCACAACTGTAAAAGAAGAAATCTGAAACATGCTTTCAGGCATTTGCATGCAGCCATTATCTTCCAAACTATGAAAAGAAAAAGTCTTGTTGCTGGCTGAGAAGCACCTCACACACCTCCTCTCTCTTGTTCTGAATGGTGTTTGTGTCAGTCTGCAGCTGTGTATGGTATTATGTCTTATAATCCTGCATCACTTCTATTCTATCCAGTCATATCTAATGTAGAAAATTAGTTTCCAGTGAAAGTAATATGTAGTGCTTTTATGATATTTGTGTGCAATATCCCCTCTTCCACTGAGGATATTTGATGTAAAGGAAAAACTCAGTTCCACAATAAAATACAAAAGTGGTAAAGTGGTGTTGACATGTTTCTTGTCTTTGTGTATGTATATATTTTTAAGTTTTCCTTTTCTTCAATCATGATTACCTACTATATGGGTATTTTCCTCAAAAGGTCAATGACTATTTAAATGGTAGATAAGAACCAAACTCTATTTAGAAATTGGAAAAATAAATGTAGAAGATTACTTTTATCTTTTGTGGCATAAAACATTACCATGATGAACCATGACATGGCTTCTTTTTCCTATTCTCATTTCTGTATCCCTCAGCAGCATGAGAAAACACCTCATTTTTCAGTAAGTACACACTCAAGGGGCTGTCTCAGAGGTGATACCAAATAAAGTTACATCAAACTGAGCCCACTCTGGTTTGGAAAAGAGGCCTTTTCCAAAATTTTTGCCGTTTAACAAGAATGCGCAGCTTTGTCTCCCATGGACATGACCCTACCCAACCATCGCTGCCCAGCAATCCTGGTGAGAGCAGACGGAGCATTTGGGGAAGCTAGGCTCTCAGTTTAGTTTTTTACTTTATGAACATCAAGTGTCTCCTCTACTGCTGTTAAAGGGATGCTGTAAGATCAGGCTTCCTGCCTCTCTAGATTTGCTGGCCGCTGAGATACCTGCCACAGTGAGATGCAGCAGTCAACACAATTTTTAGCTGGGGGAGATGCTAATGACAAGAAAGCAGGTAAAAGCTGGGGCATCAGGGAGCAAGGGGTGCTCGCTCCCAGGAGCAGCAGTGACCCTGTGGAATTTCCTTCACCCTCAGACAGCAATCCTTTTTGTGAGCCCTTATCCTTCTCCAATGTGTAAAGTTTCATTTGTAACTTCTAATGACATTAATAAGAAGTACTGTGCTTGGCTTGAATTGGGCTGAGCATGGCAAAATAGAGAAGAATTAAGACCAGATGAGGGAAGTTAACTCCTGCAAATCTTATATCTTGAGTATAATCCTGCATATGTCTATGTCAAGGGTTTTTGGGCTCTTGTGGTAGCTTGATGCTACTTAAAATATATTAAAGTGATTATGTAAAGCACACCAGACCAGGCTTCAATCCCAATTATTCACCTGCAGTTGCAGGGTGAAGGTCTGGATTTGAACATTTCAGACCACCTGTGGTACCTGTGGACGGGAGCAGTTCAGCCTGGTCTGTAGTGTTCAGCTTGCTGCTTCCAGATGCCAAATTTTATCTCCTTTCTTCAACACAGCTGCTGAGGAAGAGATATTTTATTTCCACTAGTGTTCTTAATGAACAAATTCAGATTTTGAAGCTTTTCAGGTGGCATAGGCAAATGATAGTTTCTCAGACCTTTTTTTGGTCTATCTGTCTAAAATGATGGGTCTTTCTTGTGGTATCCTAGACAGGAAGACTAATACTCGTTTCTAGTGTTCTGTGGTTGGGAAGAAATTGTAACTTTTCATGGTTCCTAGGATGGGGTGAAAAGAGGTGTCCACGTGTTTCCTGAGTAACAGTCATAGTGACACCTCATATCCAGCTCATTACCAGCATTGCAGCAAAGCTGCTTGTCTTACTTCAGGATGCCTCTGGGTATGTGTTACTTCTGCTACATGAGCATTGCCCATGTCCTTCACCCAGCAAACAGTTTTTCATCACTGCCTACTGCTGGGTCCCTACATTTGTTTTCCACAGGCATGACCAGTCCACACCCGCATGAAGCCCCAGGCTGTTGTCCTCTGGTGTGCTGAGTATGCTGTCCTCATTCAGCCCAAAAACACCATAGGCTGAGTACTGCTGAGTACCCTCAGCCAGGGGATTTACTGGTTTTTGATGGCATGCTTATCATAATTTCCACCAGAAATGAAACACCGAGGAAAACTAAAGTAGTAAATCAGCAGGTGCTGTAGTCTGCACAAGCTCTGTTCACTGGTTCTCACAGATCCTTACCAGTTGATGTAGCTGCTTCTCTGCAGTTGAACAACTCCAACATTACTGGAGAGCTGGCAGTATGAAGAGCTGGCAAGGCCGGGTGGAGGTTGGCTGCACATATGCTGCCAGCTTCACTGCCAAAACAGTTGTATATGCCATGATTTGCACATCATACTGCAGCTCAGCTCACCAGCTGTTCATGTGACTTACAGAGAAAAGTGAAATAGATGGTCCTAATTAAAAAAAAAGCTAAATAAATGTAACAATGTCTAGATACACAGAGGTTACACCCTGTATTCCTGTAAAGGCCCAGAAACTAATTTGGACTGAGTTTTTACAAACCTCATTTTATTTCAGCCCAGCTGTATTACCTTCTTAGCTGAAACAGTTGAAGGTAAATTGAACCGCTGAGCCACTTAAATACTTAATATGAACCCCCTCCCAGAAAGCAAGTCAGTATTTCCAGGAAGAGTTTGCAATTTCTAAAGATGTAATTATAGCAGCAGTTACCATGTGTAAGGACTAGAACAGGCTTCAAAGTTTCTTTCCCAATTCACTTAAGAAAGGAATTGTCAGGATTTGCAATAAGCAAGATAAATTGAAATCTGAATTTTGTCCTGATAATCTAATGTGCTTGCCAATAGGGCTCTAATGCTATTTCTGTGCCTGCTGCATGTGCAATTTAGATTGCATTGAGTGGACTTGAGTTTATCACAAAGGTTTAAGAGCAGCAACAGAGTTAGTACTATGCAACTGCCAACTGAGTTCAGTGACAAGTTTGTGATTACTGAAATACATATACATTACCATGGGGAGATTGGCCCAGAGTAGATTGCAAAGCTTTCTATCATGTTTAGTATATTAAGTTACTCTTGAATTAATGTTTTATCACTAATTCTTGACCTATACTTAATTCTCCAGTTGTATTTTGCAAGAGCCACTGTCCCAAGTTCATGGTATTTGTCACTTATGTCAGCAGTAGTTCCACTCCTACAACTGAAGTGCCATGTCCTCATCTCAACATTTCCTACCATTAAGTTTCTGAGAAGGTAAATTTAACTTTACTTTCCAAAGATGTGCTGAAATACTCACTAGAAATACATTTTGCAAGGTTTAACTGTAGTTTCTTGATAAACTTCTCCAGCAAAAACAGTAGTACTTGCAGAATCTGATGGTGCTCAGTGGACTGTATCTTGCATCATGCAAAGTCCAGAGTGCAATTCCTTTTTGTAACTTGACTCCAGCTGCCCGAGGAGGTGGGCTAAGAGGTCACTTGCTAATCTGTGCCCCAGGCTGTCTTCTGCCTGTCTCAGCAGCACAGTGATGGCTGCTCAAGTCAGAAGCCTCTTGCACCAGCAGCCAACCTTCATCTGCAGCTGGGGTAGGTCATCATCCTAGCCCCACAGTTTCAGGCGTGACCAGAGAGCCCAGAGACAGGCCACCGGGAGAGGGAGCAGTTGCTTGAAGCTGTGGGAAGGGGCTCAATACCAGTGCTGTGTGTAGGACGCGGTGCCTGACCAGGTCTGAGAGTATCTACTAACTTTATCTCGGCAAGGTCAGGTGTTACCATAAATAGGGCCCAACTGTGCAACGCTTTGGGCAATACTTATCGGAGCTGCTAAGGGAATAAATATGTAAATTTCCTCTTGTGAATAATGGATAGTGACCTTCAGTGCTTTGCTGGAATTGTTCTGCTAGTGTCCTCCTTGTGGGAGGAAGAGTAACATATGTGCTTATCTAACCAGCAGCATATTTGGTGTCTGCCATGGATCTGAATTGGGAAGCTACTTTTTGAATTAAAAGGAAGAGCTTTAACCTTTAAAGAGCTGTTTTTTTTTCTTCTAACAGCAGTTGAATTCATGTCAACATACCACACAGGCTTTGCATTTGCAGTTCTATTTCTGTTTCTTTTGGCTGGTATCACTGAGAGAACGGTCTCTGCCACACCTGGGGAAATACAGGAGAGCTGTTAACGCTGCCTAGCACAAGAAAGTCTGGCAGTCCTGTATCATAAGCATCACTGCATGCAGGTATTATTAAGGCTGCTCCTCACCTTGTTTGCATGCACAGCTCAGTGACTGTGTACGCAAATGCACTGCTTCTAGCACTGGGAGACTTTCCTCTGCCTTCTGCTATACAGACACCAGGATAATGAGTAAAGAAATTATTTAAAAACTTTCATGAAGAAAGATGCACTCCTGTGATTTAGAAATATACGGAGAGGGAGAAACTGCAATAGCTTTAATCCAAATCACAGCTGTAGTCACAAATGAAAACAGGATCCAAAGGACTATTTCTAGGAGAGGTGATCCAAAAAAAAGAATACAGTACTACTACCAAGAAAGATTTTGATCTGTCCCCACCAGGAAATATTTTGCCAGTCCCATCCACGTATAGAAAAGTCTAGGTAGCTGAAACAGTGCAGCAAGGTATAGCAACATTTCAAAAAGCCTGAGCCCTAGTGAGGAAATGCTCACTGGACTGTGAGCTCATATAGAATGAGTACCAGGGCACAGGACTGGATGGGCTCAGCACCTTTTTGTATTTGTAGAGTACAAAAGTATTTTCTTTATTTTAATATGCATATATACACAGATCCTCATTCTTCCCTCAGCATCAAAGCTCACATGTAAGCAGCAGCAGATCAAAAGCTGCTATATGACTTCCCTGCATCACAACAAGTGATGGCTACCACAGGTGTGCAGAGTCTTAAAACTGTGGTGGTGTAGAGAAGATTCCAGGTGGGAGAGATGGCGCCTGTAGAGAGAAGCTGAAAAAGGAATCAGGATACAGCAGGAACATTTTGGAAGTAAAACCCATGTTTCAATGCTGAAAAACTGAAATATATGGTAAGAGAAGGAACAATTAATTCTCCTGTGGCTGGACTAGGAGTGATTACCTCTTTGAAGCCATCAGTTTTAAGGAAATTGTTCTTGTGTGTTTCTTTTCAAGGGAAACTGCATAAAGTGCATAAAGTTGCTGGCTGCAGCTGATGAGATTCAGTGGTGACAGAGAACGTAAGCACGGATGGATGTTGATGCATCCCAAAACTAATGCACTATGATCCTTTCCTCCCTTGCTGTTTCCTCGTGCTCTGTGAATAGCTACATTGTTTTACATATTTGAAGAATGAGGCAAGGGACTGTGTACACAACTAAGGCAAGAACAGAATTAGGTCAAAGCCCTCATGAAACAGTGCCCATAATATAAAAGGGAATTGTACTGCAGTGTGAGGTTCCTCAGTGCATGTTTCTCTACCGACATTAAAAATGGAGCAGAGCAGCACTAGTAAAGTCAGAAATTTCTAACTTCCTTACAGAGAAGGCACCTCTAAGTACGTGTATAAGTGCTAACTCAGTAGGCTGTAACTCTTCAAAAGTAGTTTTAAAAACAGCCCAAAGTTAGGCTTCCAACTCCATGTAAAGTAGCCTGAATTTTCCAAATGGGTTGGGAAAAAAAAAGCCCTCACTATATGTTAATCCTCTTAGTGTCTGAAATTCAGAGTAGCCAAGGCATTCTCTCCTGTGAGAAAGCCCTACTGAAAGAACTTGTGTTTGAAATTCTTCCCTCTTCTTTTGTTCCTTCCACACTTTACACCTTTCATCACAGGCAAGCTACTTCTTTGTTTCTTTGTGTTGTCCCCATTCCATCCCCTGCCTAGCTGATGGTAGGAGGAAAATATATACCACACAGGATGAAGATTTCTAAACCACATGTGCTTTACTTCAGGAAATAGGCAAAATGGGAAGTTTAATTTGCATATGGCAGTCACATACAGTCAAACTTACAGCACGATTCAAGTGAAATATTAATAATGGTAAGCACTTCAGTTCACTGACAGAGGAATGCATACCACTATGGCCTCTGAGTTCCAGTACTAAGCAGATGCTTTAGCTAGCTTCCTAGCTTCCATTTCCTGCTTAGCCTTTTCTCTCAACTCTCTTTCTCTCGCAGTGAGAGCCGCTTGTTCTTGCTCCCACTCCTTTAGCTTCTCCTCATGTTTTGCAATGTCTTCCACTTCATATGCTGGCAGCTTTTCCTTGACAAGTTGGGTGGTCAGGTTTAACAGGCTTTCAGATTCAACTTTGCCCAGCGAACGCAGCTTAGAGTACAGCTCCTGTTATAAAGAGGGATTTGGTGGGGAGTGAGAAGGAGAGAGTCAGTCAGTCACAAAATAATCAGCCACAAAATACTTCCCAATAACAACCAGTGCATTGCTGTTTGAATCTAACTATTAGTTCGCTATACAGGCCAGGTAACTATTCTATCCCAGCAAAGGGTTTTGACTGTGGTAGCTGGTACCACTTCTTGAAACGCTAACCTCTAGAATAAATTTTTGAGCAATAAAACTAAAACAATGAAGTGTCATTTTCATTAACCATTTAAATTCTCCTTATTTTTCCAAGTTTGGTTATCTGGTATTAACAAAGATCAGCTGACCAGTCAACTACAGTAAGTACATAATATAAACACCTTGGTTTTGTGTCTAACTTCAAAATGGATTTAACGATTTGCTCCACGCTGCCTGCATTAGCATCCCTTTCAACAGATGCACATCACTTTAAATGCTCTCTTGCTAATAGGATGCTAAGTAACAATATGATTTTTCTTTTCTACAGTTACTGTGATCCAAGGCTTGACTATGCTTACACAGACTATACAATAGTGCTAAAGCAAGGGATATTTTTTTCAGCAATATTCTACATTGAAACTAAGAGCAGAGCTTCAGTAAGAAACTGTACAGTATTTCCTTCCTGAACTTTATTTATCTAGATTTCATGCAGCATAAAAATGTTAAGTAAGATGATGAATCATCCACTGATACTATTTCTGGCTTTCCACAATCTTTAGCCTAATGGCTCACTAGCAATTTGATTAACTACCTTAAAAGTGCAGATACACAACCAAAGAGGAGTTTACTGGGGGAGAAAGATGACATGGCACTGGCAGTTTCTTTACTCCTTGCTCATTCATTAGATATCAAAACATTTTCTCAATTGTTCTTTTAAATAAAATGTTTTACTGAGCCCAGCACTTGCAGAAATGTTTAAAGTATGTGTCCTAAAGAAAGGTACATCCATACTCCTTTCCTGGGTCTTTTGAATAAAGCCTATTGTTTTGCATTGCAGGATGACAGAAAGAAGATGTGCGCATCATTTACCTCCAAATAAATGGCAATTTTGGGGCCATGCAGATATCCAGACTTCCAGTTATCACTGGAAGCTTATGCACTGTGCTGCTGGCTCACAGTGTTCCTACTACCTCAGCCCATGCTGGCAGTAATCTGCAAAGGCACTGACCCTCAGCTCCTGCCTTGAGGCTCTGCCCTGCTCTTACACAGGAAACTAAGATGTCCCCTCTGAGGCCTTTCCAGTTCTTTCTGCCTTAGCCAACACAACTACAGGCTTTGTTGTGTTCTGCCAGACCTCTGAAGGTTTGAGCTGGACAGACAGCAGATTAAAGACTCTGTAAAGTGCTAGGGCTTGAGTGTTTGACTCTTGTCTGTTTTTTTGATTTTATAATGAAGAATGAAAACAAAACCAGTTACTTTGAAGCTAATGGACTAAAGCCAAACTCAGTAATTAGGTGTAGTCACCTCTACTTTGTTTGAGATGTCAGTAAGTATACAATGTATCAGTGAGAGATAGGAAGAGACCATACAGCTTGGGTTGCGGAAGAAACGTGACAACTACAGTCATGTTTACAGATTAGATACTCAGCTTAAACATAACTGCCTTACATCCTTCTGAATCTCCCTACTAACTACTATCCAGGATGTGATTAAAAGGGTATTTATGCACTGAACCTAAGCAGTATGAAACTGAACTACAGAAAGGCAGTAAACTTGAAACTAGTAGGACTTCTCTCCGAAGCCATTACTGGAATCTGGAACTGGAATCTTCCCTGCTCTGCTGTGATACATTAGTGAAACTAATGTATAAAAGCAGGGGTCTTCCTGTTCTGCAGGCACCAAAAGTGCACATTCTTAAATGGCTAAATCACTGATTTTTATAAGCAGACCCCAGGGCATTGCATGCAGACAGAGAAGGAGCAATGCTTTTAGAGAGGGTGTTTCCAGCGTTTATGTGATGAAATGCTTGCCCACTGATTATTGACACAGATGGAAGGAATTGCCTGAGGAACACTGTAGTGAGCAGTGAACCTCAGCATAGGGGATCTGAAAACAGTTAATTACAACACAAAGAGAGTCTAAATTACAGCTCTAAAGGCTTTATCTGGAAAGAGCCAAATGCCCTCAAGTCCTCTTTGTTTTAGGGAAGGTGAAGGACATGCTGTCTTTCACACATCCTATCTGTTAGGCTGCCATGGCTGTTTGGAAGGTTGTTATGAGACATGGAGTCCAAGTATTTGTATAAAAGCCATACAGAACAAGCTACAATTCTAGACATGAACAGTATGTCTGGAGCAAAACCACCTGCTTTTCCTTGCATACCCAGATGTATGGCTTGTGAAAGAGAACTGGGCAAGCACGAGACAGAAGCAATTAGTTTTGAGCTCAAGGAGAAAGACTGGGACGTGCTGGCTAATGCATGGCTAATACTGGACAAAGTACGGCTAAAGTGTCTTTAGCAGGGGTGAAAATCCTGTGCTAGGGTTACATCACATGAGAGGCAGATAATCTGTGCTTGGATAGCAGCTGTGAAAGCCAACATCACCAGGCTGCTTCAGTGGCCACCTTCCCTCAGACTTGTAAGGCTATCTAGTGAACTTCTTTGCCCTGGGAACTACACCTGCAGGTGTCCAGCAGTTCAACTGGGAAGACTGACTGGTGCTGGCCTAATGGATGAAAATGACACTCTGATTTGAGAGCTCCTTTTCTCATCCAGACAACCAGAAATTAGCGCTTATTTACATAAAAATTACTGTTGAATGCCTAGACTTCACATGAGGGCTACCCTCTTGCTTATATTCAGACTTTTCTGGTGAGAGCTTAGAGCTAAGCACTGGGACTGTAGTTTGTTGGCTCAAAGTCAGGGCACTCGCTGTCACACCAGGAAATGCCTGAACTAGGGTTAACTACAGAACTTGTGGAAATGTTTATGTGAGAAGAAATGTACCCTCTTGGCAGTAGTCTGTCCCAAAATTGGCATTTAGATCTTGTTTTGAGCACTCTGCATTATTTTCTTCAAGGCTAGACAATGGATAGACAAGAGACTTGTAAAAATGTCTCACTCCCTCCTTCAAAGGGCCCTTGTGTTTACCTAACTCACTGTAATTCATTCAGGCATTAATTATCACATGCTAAGCACCCACTGATTCCCAAACACTTTAATTAAAAAGCTTTAAGTGCCTACAAAGCAAGTTTAATATCTAAAGATTAGTGGCAAACAATTTATGTAAATAAAAATTAAAGAATGGTGAAATCACAGATACTAGTCTTAACTTTTAAAGAACAGGGATCTGTACCCAGAACAACTGTCCAAGGTCATGACAGCAACAATGGAAAATGATGGGCTATGGAAAGAGGTACTGCTCTTGGAACTGTAAGCTAGGTTAGTTTCAACCTGGGGTATTTTATTTTTACCACAGCACAAATCAGAGATGATCAAATAAAATTCACTCATAATATAGCTTTGCCCTAATGAAAAACTGTTTGTGTTTCATACTGTTATCATCAGTGTGACAACCTAAAGATAAAAGGGAGGTGATATAGCCTTAATTCCCCAGACTGAATGTATAGGATGCAACATTCCTACTTAATCATAACATACACAAATGCACAATAAATTCAGGATGGTCTCATGCCTATTACAGTTTATTTTAATGCACAAGAGCCCACACAAGGTCAGATAATGGATCTCTAATGACATACCACTTTGTCAAACAGGACTGGATGTATCAGTTTGATGTATGAAAAGCGAAGATAAAATCCCAGCAGACAGACAAAAGACAAGTGGCCTTGAGCGCTTATGTCTTTGTAGGCTGCTGCTTCCTGTTTGAAGAAGTGAAAATGTAAGGTGACATCAGTTTTAAAAATGCGAGGTAGGACTCCTGATGCACTGAAGGGG